AGCGCTTTTCTGGACACTCCACTCAAAGCGCTTTACAGGTAATGGGGTCACCCCTCCACCACCACCAAGCTTCACCTGGATGATGAGACGGCAGCCACAGTGCGCCAGTACACTCACCACACATCAGCTCTCAGTGGGGAGGAGAACAGAGTGATATATCATAGCAGGTTTGGGTCTTAAGACCTCTGAGGAGAAACAGGTTGAGATCTGCAGATGTTTAAATAGACCTGAAGGCTTGGGGGCACTGGAACCAGTGGGGAGCAGAAACACAAGGAAGTACTACCTGAGGGACAGAGCTGCCATCAGTGGGATTGTCCTGCATGGACAGGGCCAGTGCAGTCAGCTCCTTCATGGTCATCCTCAAGAGGCTACAGCTGGAGGACTTGGGCTCGGAGGACAGTAGGGCCTGAGCACAGCGAGAGAGACGACATCAGGACATCATTATAGAACAGTTATAAATGACTTAAATGTAAAATGTTTTATGTAAAGTCACCTTACTGTGTGTAAGTTTTTTAACATTAAACTGAATGTATCAAATTAAATCAATCAATGTACCAAAGATATTTCTGCACAATAAGAAAAATCTAATTTAAATCCAATCTTGTTTAAAACACACACACACTGTGGGGAGGTCTAAGACATGACATAGAAATCTTTGGGCTCAAGTCACAAATATGCATTTTAGAATCATATTAAATCATTCCGAGTCCAACTGCTGCCAAAAGGAAAGCGTTCCTCCCCACCACTTCCAGATTTCTAAGAAAGAAGAATCTCAAGATGAGACAACAACCTTAAATGTACTTGTTGCATAACAGACTGAAAAACACTGTTTCCAAAGTTATTTCCATTATAGTCAGTTTATTACTAAGTATTTTTTCCCATATTAACTCTTTCAAGTTCATTTTAGGAGGTTCTTTTAACTATTTTAAACCCAAATTTGTTTTTCTTTAAAACCTATCCTATCTTCAGTGACCACTCAGGCGACTCACTCTTTCCACAATGAGTATGAGGTTTCTGATTATTACAATTTTATGCAATTCATGCATACTCAGATATGCCTCTTTTATTATATGAACTATACTCCTGGAACTTTGTCTTCATACAATCTTAAACAATTTCCACTTGAACAAGTACCATGCAGGGAGTCTCACTGAGAAGACAGATCAGAAATCTGAATCTCCTACACCAAACAAGAACAAAGAAATACAGGTTTACAGGAGAAATCTGGTTGATAAAGTAATCATATCGAAAAGATGTTGTTAAAGTAATACTTCCTTTGACCATGGTGAAAAGACCAGTACAATTCTCAGATAAAGCAATCAGCTCTTCCCCTCTAATTAACCAAATCTGTATTCCATCCAGTGCTATGCCCACTGACAACCAGGATATAGACTTACTCAAATGATTTTCTTTTTCTCTCCAGAAATTTGAATCTGCTAATGACCTTCTTTAATTGACACCCTCGAGGATGTTAATATCCCTTTATCTGGCTCAGATCTAAAGCTCACCTGGATGAGGCTTATACGCTTTAGCAAATTATTTAAGCTACTTAATGTACGTAGTGTGGCAAGTTAGCTATTGCTGACATGGTTATCAATAGATCCTAAGAAAATTCTCTCAGAATCTTTTTCCCTCTCAATCTCTACCACTATGTTTTTCAAAAGGTTCTATATTTAAGGGAGTATTGTAACATAATATAACAATTAACATACAAGTCAGTGGATTGGAGTGTCCAGAAATTTGTTATGTAACTGTAAGGCATTATTTTTATAACAACAGTTATAAATTATATACTTTAACAGGCACTTCCTTTCACAACCAACAATATCTAGGCCTAGAATGATCTGATGGCAGCCAAAGTGCACCAGTATGCTCACCACACGTCAGCTATCAGTGGGGTGGAGAAGTGAGTAATAAAGCTAATTCATAGATGGAGATAAGGAGGCCAGGGGGAAATTTAAAACCCCTTATTAAAAATAACAGGATCCCCCTTGATTACAGCTCATACTGTCCTATTTCACTTCTCAAGGTGGATGTTAAAATTCTGACAAAGGAGCTGGACATTCATCTTGAGCTAGACTTACAATCTATAATTTCTTTAGGGCAGAGTGGTTTTATAAAATACAGACATTGCTTCTTTGAACATTTACTATTTAATTTTATCAACACTCCCTCTTCGTCATCCAGTCCTTACATTTTGGACTCATTTGATTTTGAGAAGTCTTTTGAGTGCAATGAGTGGGATTAGTGGTTTTACACTCTTCAATGAAAAAAAAACAAGATTTGATTTATTTCATTAGATTAAGATACTCTCTTATTCCGCCTAGGGCTACATTCATACAACACATTCTTTACATATTTTCCTCTCCATCAAGGCCCAATAGTGTTGGCTTCCCTCATGTATGTTTTACCTTTGGTATTGTCCATAGGAGGTGGACAGTGTGGTCAGGGAGTGTCAGGAAAAGAAAATCTCTCTGTATACAAATGTTTGTTGCTGACCCTCTTCACACCCTATATTTTTTCTAATATGAAAGAAATTTGGAGAATTCTCGAGATATATGAATATCTCTATGAATATGAATTTAAACATGAACAAATTGTTCTTAATAATTCTATAGCTATAAATTATACAATGTTTTCATTTATAACAATATATTCATAACATTTTCCATTCAATGGAAATCTGGGAACACATTCTTATAAAGATCCCCCCTTTAAATCAAATGTATGCCATAACTCAAATATACCTATTTCACACGCTGGTCCACACTACCTTTATTATCAGATTAACTCTGCTAAGATGATCATGCTGTTCCTCCCAAAATACTACTTTAACTAATTTGATCAAATAATGTAACTTATCTGGTGCAAGAGCTCTCCCTACATTCATAAAGATTTTCTCCTTGAACAGACCAAATTTTTCAGAAGGATTGGCACCACCAGACCCCCCATTTTAGTACAGGTTAGCCAATATTTGCAGTATTGAGCAAATATTGGATCTGGATTTCAGAATTGTCAGACACCATTTTCACCTTTTAGGCCTCATCCCTTTCTACAATTAAAGTTTTACAGGAATCTAATCTGGAATACAGCTGTTCGGTAGAGGAGTGGAAGAAGGTGTGGTTGTGTATTCATGTATCCTCCATTTGTGCTAGACATGCATTGACACAATTTAAAACACTGCATCCCATTCATTTATCCATAACTGAATTAGCTAAAATCTTTCTGGATATTGATCTAACACATAACAGGTGTAAGCAAGCCCCTTCTTTATTTGTGCACGTTTTTGGGCCTGTCTCAGGCTGGCTCCCCTTTGGACTTTGATATTTAAAACTCTGCAGTAACACTGAGAACCGAAAGTAATGTAGTGAACTAACATCGAACCCACTCCACTTACGGAACGTTTTGGTGACATGCCTAGTAAGATTTTCCTAACCGAACTGTAGTTTTTGTGAACCTTACTTGCCAGATGCCTTATTTGGTTCCACTTTTACAAATACACAGTCAGGAATATAATGCATTCCTGAATCTTATAAATGTCCCTATGTCCATTTCTCAAGGCATATTTATCTGTTACTCTGCTTTAATTAGACAGCTTTTCATTTTGTTTCTCAGGCAGAATAACTGTCCTGGACTGTTGACTGCTGTCTAAATATTAAAAAAATCTGTAAAAATGTTTTTGAAATACTGAACGCATGTATACACCTTAAGGGTTTTTGAAACACTAAGGAATTCAAGAGGTAAAATCTGATTCAGTTTAAATGCCAGTGCTACTGAGGTTACCGCTGGCTTTCTATCAGTAGAGAGTATACTCTAGTATACTGGGGCTGGGGAACAGTGTTTTACAAAATTCAAGGAAGAACACTACAAAACTCAATTTCTCAAAAGCATTCATGCTGTGAGAATAAAGGTTTGCTTTATTCCTTTATGAAACGCAAAGGAGATTATGTTAATAATACAATCAGCACAGAATGGGTGGCACACCACAAGGACAGCCTGCAGACTGTTTCGTCTCTCTCTGTTTTCCAGCACTACCTGCCTGGCACCCCCTGGCAAGAAATCATGTCTCTGAGACTTACATCCCAGAGCCGCAAATTCTCTTTAATTAAGTACAGGCAAATTATGAACAATTGTCTTGTTGTTTTTGGTTGTTAATCACTGAAACAGCGATTCCATACTTTTCGAATAGCTGTATTACCTCATGGGGGTTAAGCAGTTCAGAGGGGATGTAGCAGAGGCCTCACAACTGCAGAGCTTCCCACAAACAGACAGCCGCTGACAGCAGCCTGCAGAACTAGGGGCAGGCAGGCTGGGGTCCCTTACCTGTATGTAGAAAGGGATGCCTGCGCTGCGACGTGTGGCACACAGCTTGGACGTGGGGCCGCTGGACCTCACCTCCTCCAGAACCTCCGACAGCCAGCGGCCAGGCAGCTGCTGCAGGGCCCTGCCTGGACTCCTGGGCAAGTACAGACAGGGCAGCTCTCACCACACATCATCAGGAAAGCAATAGAGCACAGCTGTCAAACTCGGCAGCTCAGCATTTTGATATCCAAAGCAACCTTTCCTTAGTCTAACACAAAGAATAGGAGAGGCTGAAATTCTTGTTTATGGTGCTTTCCTAAAAAGACCTTTACCTGTAATGGGAAATGTAAGTCTGTTTCTAAGACTCTGTTTGACAGCATAATTGTACAAATCAATGACAGATCCATGGAAGTTACAGTAGCCTTAGATCTCGATTCGTTACTGCAATAGCAGGACTGGTTAACTGCAGCTAACAATCAAAGCAAGCCATGCTCTGGGAAAAGCAAATAATTCATTATTCAAGGAACTTGGCTTTATATTATAAAAGAAGCATTGTTTTATGAGAGAAGGGATAGCCAGGTAAAAGTCCATATCAAAGGCTCTCCTTCTGTTAGCTTGTACACAGTATGGCTGCTTGACACTCTTGCTCTCCTGCAGGACCAGGCAGTCAGAGCCCAGCCTGCAATGGGGAACAGAGTGGTAAACATAAGAACAAAGGTTACAAACGAGAGGAGACCATTCAGCCCATTGGGTAGTTAAGTGGTCCACTGGTCCAAGGATCTCAATCAGTCCGTTTTTGAAAGAAGCCAGGGTATAGGCTTCAACTGCATAGCTGGGTAGCACTCCCACAACTCAAACAAAATCCTGCAGAGCTCAACATAAAAGACTCATAATTAGCACCCCGTAACTAAGCTGTTATGCAACTCTTAAGCATTTCAGGATGACTCTTCTGAAAAACAAAGGCTTTAAATACCTCAATTTTCTACCATTGGGCTGTATTAATTTATTTTTATTCTCCACTGACTTAAAAGATGTACGAAGCAAGACAATGCAAAGGTTTTGTAAAATAAATTCTAATCACTTCTGAAATGACCAAATCAAGAAATACAGGAAAACCTGAAAAAAGCTGTTAGTTTGGTGGGAAAAAAATGGTGGGAGGGGACAAGGAAGTCAATTCCATCTAAATCACTGCACACCATTCTAACAAAGATAGCTCCAGAAACGTGCACACAGAGACACCTTTCAAGTCTCTGAGAACAAGAGCGAGATGTAGCAACTGAAGGTAACAAAATGGCATCCAGCCATAACGTCCTCTGAACTCTGTGGCCAAGGCTGTGCTGCACCCACCACCATAAAAGAAATCTCTTATCTGTTCCTGTGAAAGAGAAATAGTTTTCAGCAGAACAGCACATCCTGAAGTTCCCAGGTAGAACATGATTCATCATGAATCTCTGTCGACCAGCACTGCAGACTAATCTCTAGTAAAACACTTTTTTAACTGCTCGGGCACTTCAAATGCTTACTGTTTCTTATAATAATAAATTCCCTGATAGCACAGTGACCAGAGATTTCAGTGTGTGGTCTGTAAATATTTAAATAACAGGACTGAAGTCACACATCCTCTTTATTAATATGTAATCGAAAACGTCACAGTGCAAACGAAGTGTGGCCTTTTTAATATACACCTGAGTAATTTTCCTCTTTGCAGCTGATCTACATAAATTACAGCTTGTACTGGGGTTTACTAATAGGTCAGCTTTTACAGCAGTATCCAGTAATTGTAATCACTCTGTATGTAACTCTTTTGATTATATTTTGCTCATGTTAATGATCAGCTATGATGGATGCCCTATAAAGCTAAACAATTCAGGCCTTCAGCTGGAATCCTTTCAAAACTGCCTTTGAAGGAAAAGTGTGGTTTTCTAGAAAGAACTGACAATGTTCAAAAACATTAGTAATATTTTAATTAGAAAGAAGGAAGTCTCAGCATTCCTATTAAATTCAGACATTAACAAAATGCACAATCCTAGTCCAGAACTAGTCCACTAAAGAATGTTGTAGAAGTCAAAAAGAACTTGTAAAAAAGGCAATTAATTTTGGGTTCTTCTCTCAGACATGTAAACATCAGCACCAACTGTCAATACTGCAGACTGGTTCCTTTCACTTTCCACATTTTGTTACAGGAGCTTTTTGATGCTTACACAGTTACACTGGCATTTGGGACTGCAAACAATGTGACCTCTCTGCCACCAAGACACTCACCTCAAATCATCCTTGACCATGCTTGCAGAGGTGAAATGTAGGATTAATACATCATGCACAATACTTACAGCTCTAACCATTATATTTCTACAGCACGTTTCACCCAAAGAATTGCCAAGGGGAGGAGACCACTTGATCCACCACTGAGATGCAGCACTCGCATGGGTGACACCAAGCACTCGTAATTCTCTACTTACACTGCAAACCAGGCACAAAAATGTGAAAAAAATAGCTTTACCAACTCAATTAAAGGAAGAATGAGACGAATGAAAAAAGAAATGCAGGGAGGCCAGACTGTGTGAGCCCCATGTGGAAGTTAGCCAGGAGTCCAGGCTAACACTCCACCTGTTATGAACAGTTTTATCGAATCTGTAATAACCAAATAGTCAGGGTCTTGGTTTAATGTCTCAGTGGAATGCTTCAGTCTTAGGCAGTCATCTGAAACGTGCATTGAAGCAGCTCATGAATCCTGTAAAAAGTGTATTGAATTATTTTGCCACTGTATTTCAACTATATGCAAACAATACAACAAACTTTAGGTTTGATTCTCACTAATATCACATTGCCACAAGGTTTTTTGTTTGAAAAGTGAATTCAGCTTATCTACAATGAATATTGAAAATAAACCATAATGTTGTTGTTTTTTAAATATGAAGGTAACAAGTTGCCAAGGGCTAGATGATGCATTACAATAGCATTGCTTCCCAGAACTCTCAGCATTCCAAACTCCGTGCAAAGAGCAGCTCACCTTTTGAGCACAGTGGGCTCCCTGCTCGTCTAGTCTGGCCTTGGAGGTGAGCTTGAGGCAGCAGTTTGAATTAGGGGACAGACCAAACGGATTTGATATACTGTAGTGTATTTTATCCTGGGTTTGACTGGTATGCCTTCCTGGCCTCATCATGTTGTTCTAACCTTGGAACACGACTCCTGCCCATGACTGAGCCCTCCTTCCAGAATTTAAGCGGCATATGGCACACCCTGCTTGTGCTCACCTGGCCAGCATGTCGGTGAGCTTGACGAAGCCCACGTAGGCCAGCTCAAACGCCCCCCGGTGACGAGACTGCAGGAGCTGCTGCCGGAAGTACCGGCCCACTCCCTCCACCTGTGGGAAGGAAGGAAAGGAGCAAAAGGAGGAAAGTTATTCTGGCCATTTTGCTTGAGAAGCAAGTATTTAAGGACTTAGGATGAGACTTTAGATCATTTAAGCCATGGGAGCTATGCAATGGAATTAATGCATTTCAAAGAAGCCAAGAAAAGATGGAATCAGTAACTAAACTCATTTTAAGTTCTAAGTTTATAACATACAGTGCAAAAGAAACAACTGATAAAATATTAAAAATCCTTACTCTTATATACCGCTTTTCTGGACAACACTCAAAGCGCTTTACAGGTGATATGTAGCCTCCACCACACCAGCTAGGGTGTGCCAGTATGCTCATCAGCTCTCAGTGGGGAGGAGAACAGAGTGGTGAAGCCGGTTCATAGATGGGGATTATTAGGAGGCCATGACTGGTAAAGGCCAGGGGAGGAAATGTGGCCAGGACACCAGGGTATCACCCCTACTCTTAAAAAAAAAATTCCAAAAAATGCCATGGGATTTTTAATGACCATGTGGAGGACGGACCTCAGTTTTACGTCTCATCCAAAGGATGGCTTTTTTTACAGTTTAGTGTCGCTGTATCTATACTGAGGTATTAGGACCCACACAGACCACAGGGTGAGCGCCCCCTACCAATCCCTCTTACACCTCTTCCAGCAGCAACCTCTGGGTTGCCAGTTGTTAATTGCGGGTTGATACAGCTGGTGATGAATAAAAAAGAAACTCTGGTGCAGCGAGAGCTGCAAAAAAAAAAAGTGATAAAAAAACACCTTTCAGAAAAAAATGGATTATCTAAGCGTTTGAGAAGGCTTATAAAAGTCTGTGCTAAGCAGACAAAGGTAGATTCAAACTAAGACAAGACCAGAAACAGGAATCCATGTGAAATAACTAAAGGGCAAGGTAGGGCAGGGAACCAAACCAAGGAACCAAACCAAGGCCACAGTGTCTGAACAGACAGGCTCTGGAGGCTCAGCTGACAGCTGAAATCATCATTTCACTTTCAAAGCTCCTTTTTTTTCCAGAAACCAGATCCCTAGCATAAGGAAGCTCTATATAATACGTGGAATTTCCATGGCTGCACTGATATATATCTAGTCTTCTTTTAATAATTCTGAAATAATTTTCATAGGCTGCTGATATAAGAGGGTTCTTACAGAAGCAACAGCTTACCAGACATCCAATCATATAGTGCAAGATGCACACAATCCACAAACTAGAAAGCAAAATTAAAGGATTCTGAATAAGTGGTATGTGTCACAAAGGTGGGATAATTAGCATTCATTCCACAGTTTTCAAGATGGATTATGCTGAGAGATTTAACACATGCAGCTGTGGGTGTAACCTATATGGGTGGATCTGTTTTATGCTCGCTTTGTCTAAATAGCCTCATAGATAATGTTACTTTGTACAGTGTCTTGCAACTAACATTCCAACAACTGTTTTTTCCGGATATCTACATTACGGTTTTAGTGATGTACCCTCTTATGACTGCTAGCACATATTTCTTTGCATTTTGTAAAAAAATCTGTAACAGAGACCACAATTTGTCACATTAAAGTATGAGTTATAAAGACATAAAAATGTCCCTTCATTCACTTATATATCATATCAGTAAAATATTATGAGAGCAGAAGTAAACTGAATTACAGAATGAAAGCAAATACCACAATGTTAAGAATTATGAATAAGTTACTTAACTGTCAAGAGGTAGAGAAACTCACATTTATTCCCCAAACACATTGCTTACAGGACATCAGTGGCATTATTCTCTTTTAATTAGATCTTCAAAACCTAATTTTTATGGATCTGATTAAAGTCTTTGTTTCACAGTCTATATACAGTCCTGTATATGAAATGTGGTCACAGTAACCATAGCAAAAGAAATAAGCCTTAATAGCTTGATTCCCCTAGGCTACCCCCCAAGACTACTAATACCAAGAGAAAATGCTGACAAACACACAGCTGGACTTGTCATACTTTATTATAAAAGATTCCCATGATAATTGCCTGTTGGAAAAAATGGGATATTCAGAACTTGGTCTTTGTGGTGCAGGACAAATTTAGACCAATCAAAGGAGCATATTTCAAGCACACTGCACATGAAGTCGAGGCAGATCCACAGGCCACTGCTTGGTTGGTATGACAATAACAGGTTTATTCAGCTAGTTATTAATTCTCCTTATGCTTTAGTAGCTAATGGCATTATTTCTGAAATCCATGCCTGCCATTACATCAGAGTTTAGTACATGTTTCCAAATGAATCCTCCTTCAGTTGAATCACACTGCTCTAGACTCTCTGTAGTGGGTTCTTTATCACAGCTTCCGGTCACCCAGTGTTGCAAAAGGCTTTCTGACCCTCTCCAGACACTGAACTCCTGCCAATTTACCTTTTTGGTTCTATGTCTTGCTAACATGAACAACAGGAAACGTTCCATCCGATTCAGGCAGCTTTCAAGACCATTTGCACTTCATGCCCAGATGATCAATCTTTCTTGCCTGTACGTTTACAAAGGAGGTTCAGCTTTGGGATGATGTGATGCCACGAAGGATATTCATAGAGCAATCATAAGCAATCCACATGACTAGTTCACCATAAGGATGTGCTTAAGTCACATCACCGTAGCAACCATATGCTGCATAATGCAAAATATCAAATTGCAACCATGCAACCAATAAGCCCAGAGCATGAAGGGCGTTACGGAGTGATGTTTCCCCACCTGCAATTCTAACCTTCAGCATCACTGTGTGCTCAGCGCCTCAGAACTCACATCCCAAGGGAATATCAAAGCAGCGTAGCTGGACTCATAAAAGTGTGACAGTAACCAGGAGAGACACAAGGGGAAATTATCTTGCTTCTGATTTTTTTAACTTGCGGTTTTACAGAGAATTAACAGATTTTAGCTATAGCAAAAGATCAGCAATAGCCAGACATGAAAAATGAGCTTAAAGACCCCCCAATCCCACAATACCAGCCTGCAGAGCAAAGCTCGGGTGTGTTTACTGTTGGCTGCTGGGTCTCGTTTTCAGGGATCTAGTGGATGGATACCCGAGCTAAATCTAAGCTAAGACATTATTAAGACTAAAAAGCTCTTTCTGGAAAGGCATAACCAGCGACTCTGTGGGGTCCTTGCAGGGTCAGTGGGTAAACCAAGATGCTAATCTCAGAGATCATTACATGCCACAGGCGTTAAAGATTCTGGGAACCAGAGATCCTTCAATGGCACCTTTCATTCTCATTTGTTTGCAATGAAAGTGAAGTAAAGGCCTTTAAAAAAATAACAGAGGAGTCTAATCACCTTAGGCAGCTGCCACATGACTGGGCTTTCCTCACATGTACGTTGTCCCTATCTGATTGCCACTGCCCTCATATGAAAGCCCAAGACAAGCAATCACCCTCCAAATGCAACCATATCCCCTTTCAGAAAATTAAGGTCTTCCATATAAAAAAACATGAAAAGGAGGGCAGCAAATACTTACAGGTATTTGACCAAAATTAATGTAAATTCCAAATTCAACAAACACCTCACATTACTGTGCTAACCCCAGAGCTGAAGAGCCTGTGAAAGTCAGCAAATTGATTAGGGTAGTGTCAGGGTTTAATGTCATATTAGTGCACAACAGTAAAAATATATACAGTAATTCTGTGCATAAAATACCTTCTGGATGTTAAAGAGACCGAAACAGAACTGATTGAAGACAAAGAGACTGGTTAAGTCTAGATGTTTTGTTTTTTGGATGGAGATTTTCCTAATTTTTTAAACATGCTTATATAGTATAGAAGTCTGGGAAAACCAGTTAATCTGTAAGAACTTGACTTATGCTGCTACAGGATAAAAACCCCTGTGACCAGGCAGCACCACAAACAATTGAATGCTTTCCTATTAATTAGACACAGAGCTGTGACTGGGCAATTATGTTTTGTATAAGAAGTTACTCCTTATTTAGTTGGAAAGTAACACAGCCTGAGATGAGTCAGTCCCTTAGTCTTTTTCAGCACCTATTTGACATCGGCCGGCATTGCAGTCACTGAGCGAGAGCTGTTTGCAATCAGAAACCTGTTGGGTTTTTTTTTCCCTCAAGAAACTATTACAGAAAAATGAAGTATTAAAAACAATTAGAGGAGTGACTAAATGTTTCTGTTGCTATAGCGCTGACGAGAATGTAAACACTTTGCTGTTGCCCAGCAAAGCGCTAGTAAACAAGGCAAGGCTCCGTACTCAAGCCAGTGACGGTACTAGCTGGAAGATGTTTGGGCTGTCATAAACACGCACAAACACTCCGCGGAGGCTGCCGGAAAATAAAACTAATATTTAAAAAAACATTTAAAAGATCTGAATTGCTCACATACATTTGTTCAACCAAATTAACCCTGGACAACGGGGGAGGGGGGGTGGGGGGTGGGAGGATACCTCCCACATCTCATGAATCTCGAGAGAACGGCTCTCTTCACTGGGGTCGGAAACAAAGTTTCAGAACCGTAACGAAAGCCTGCCAAGCTCTGCACTAACTTCAGTAAAGCTAAAGGACAGTACGCAAATGAGTTTTCCATTTATTTTGGCGCTAGGCCTCCTATTAAATGCTCAAAGCTTTCCATCGCCCTGCTAGGAAGGCAGAACAGTGACTGTAAAAAAGGGTATTTAAATGAAGGAATTATTCTCAATGATGTTCAGGCTAGTTGTTTAAAAGGTGGGTTTTCAACTCGTACAGGTTGCCACCATTCACTTCTTTTTAGGAAATCAGTCACTGCTTTGCCTGAATTTTGTTTTTAGCCTTGAATCTTTTTTTTTTCCATTCAACCCTGTTGTTCACATAAGTACACACAATGTTTCTTACAGCTTAATGGGCCCATGCAAATAACTGCACTGTGAACCGTGGAGCAATTCATCATGGTACTTAGATTATATAAAAGGATGTTTGGTGAATGCATTCTCAAAGACAATATCCGTACACATCAGAGGGTGGTACATCAGCTCAATGTGACCAGCATATGAGTCCATGATGGCTCACACGCATCCTCCAGTGGGTAGGAGTGATGTCAGTGCTCCGGCTCCCCGCAACCCTAACCAACGCTTATTGAAAATGTATGGATTATTATTGGCACCATACAACTAATACTAAGTTTTGCTTTACAGTTGTTCATTTACAGCAAGATTAAGAACTGCTACAGTACTAACCAGTTTGAACTGGAATAATAAGCTCCTCTGCATTTTCATTGCGATCCCGGAAATCTGAAAACTGTTCTCTGTTGAGGGCACCATCTGATTGATTTCAACATCTCCTCAAAAACTATGCAACATAATTTAAAACATATCTGGCATTAAGCAGGAAAGTGCTTAATTCTGTTTTTCTGGTATCAATTCAGTGACTTATTTTGCATGCATATTTCACATTTTCACTTCTGAAAATCACTCCACAGTTTTGACTCTAGTGCATCAAAACGTCTTTTCAATGGACTTATAATTACTAGCTGGTACAGTGACGTTTTACCCTGGATCCTGGATGTCAGTCCCTTGGAGGTTTATGTAAGGTTCAAGAAGATATCTCTACTTGATCACAAGGTGGTCATGAGTTCTGATTTCAGACATGACAGAAAGGAAATAACAGGCCAAGACAAAAAGTGAGAAATGCAATTATGTAAATCTTTATGTCAAACAGCATAAAATAGACCATTTTCCTCCAGATCTAAGCCTTTATACTGTATAATGAAACAGATCATCTTAGAAAGCAAAAGTGCCCCTCTTTGTCTTCCAGCCTACACCTGGACAGCAAAGTACATGTTAGACACGTTTTTAAACAGGTGTGAATCTTCTCTTACATATTCTGTAAAAAATCCATGTTTGTGCAGTTCAAATTTAAGACCATATATTTTTTCCCACACAATAAGCAGACTTCAATGTGAGGCGCATTCCATACGGGTCAAAGAAGTTGGCGTGTAATTCTGTAAGCCACTATGTACTCAGATCATCAGCAGCCGCGAAAAGGAGGGAAATGTGATGCAGCTCAATGGCACACATTCACCCCTGGCAAAGGCAAGCCTGCCACTTTGAAACCAAACCCTCTGTGACATTCATAAAACACAGTGACTGAGGCACTTCCACTGAAAACCCTTCTCTCCCTTTTTCATAACCCCACGATCATCTGATCCCAGTGTGAGCTGGGGAAGAAGAACCCTCGACAGCTGGAGCCACACATGTGGAAATCAATAAAGCTGATGGAAACTGTCAAAGTCAAGATCCACTTCGATTTGCTTCATTCTTAAGAAAAAAAAGAAACAAACGAAGCATTTAAAGCTGTGTGTTATTATGTAGGATGAAGGCTTCAGCCAAGTCACGATCAAATCAATCCTGTTTTACAATCCAAGGAAGCAATCTAAATAAACAAACCGCCTTCTCGGAACTTCAGAAATGGCAGCTGTAAAATCAGGAGATGTTGAAACACTTCCTACAGTACAGAAAATAAAACTAGGCGGGTCTCTGTCTCTGTTTTGAATGCATGCTCTTCAAAACAATTAAATTAAAATCTGTGTGTTAACCAGACATGCAGAGAGTAGGCCTTGCTGTGGCAGCGAAGAATATACTCAGGCTCGGTATGGCAGTCAGTCAAAGAGTCAAACGAACTCTTTTAGGTCCCTTTAGTAACTCACTAAACTGTACTTCTTTCTCCCTGTAGACTGCAGATTCCAAGTTCCACCTTTATCCCCACAGCACTGTGGGAACTGGTGACAAACTAATACTACTAAACGTCTCAATCTATCATCTCAGAAAATCCGCTGTTCTCCAAAGATTAATGGGAGGAAAACAATAACTAACTCATACACTCAGAACATTGGTAGAAGGGAAAAATCTAGTATCATATCTAGTCGGCCTTAAATGATTCAATACCCAATGACAGCAAAAGCTCCAAAAGGACAGTTGCATTTGTCTTCGTGTTCTCAGGTTTCAGAGGTAGTAATTGCCAAATTAGATGAAAATCATGAAATTCAGATGATGTAGAGACCATAGCTTCATAGATAACCTTGTTTTACTTTGCAACAGAAACAAGAAAAAAAATACGATGTATTTTCAAAGCACAAGAGTGAAACTTTCTTAATGTTCTTAATGACCTTTTACCTCTGATCCAGTATGTTTGTGAAACGTCCATAAAACACCGTTCTGGTAAAGTCTACTATGCGAAAGAACACTGCAGCCAGATACCATAGTGCAGCCAGGGACAGAAACTGCTTAATATTAACATTTGGGAAAGAGCTTATCTTTTCCAGAAACCAAACAGAACTGGCAAGAGCCAGTCCTGTGTTTACAACAGAGGTGGAAGCAATTTGGAAAGAATGTGTGCAAATTAAACTGGTTACGGCTATTAAACACTAGGTCCTGAGTGAAATGAAGGCTCTCCCTAATGAATGTGGTTGCTAATTGAAGACATCCGCAGCATGGAAGCAGGTGTAGCTGCTGCTCAGGCACTGCACAAGCTTCACGGGATGTGCACACTGCTCTTTAATGGCATTCCAGCATCTTCCATTACGCCACTGCCAGTTGAGAATGGTCTCCAATATTCCCATTAACAAAATATTCCCTGGTCTGCGGTAATGACCTCCTACTGTCAAAGGGGCACTTTCTTGCAATAAAACACTTTGAAAAGACAGCCACAACAAAAAGCACTATAAGACAAAGACTTTGCCTTGGTGGCCTATGGGCCAATGCTGTGCAGGTTTTTTGGCTCATGTGGTGGAAACTCTGTATAGTGCAGGGTGCAGGGGAGACTCAGGGCTCACCTGCTGTTCCGTAATCAGCCCCTCTCGAGGAGGGGCTTCAGTCTGGAGGGGCAGGTTCTGGCACAGCATCCCAAGCAGCATGGACACCTCCTTCATCGTCCGCCAGCAGCACACCAGCACCATCTGAGCCGTAACTCTGTACTGTTCTTCCCCTCCACCTGCCAGAGGACAACAAATAAGGCCCTCGTTTCAAGGCTCATTAATCTGTCTCCAGTTTTACAAACTGTACGTTTCAAGTTCGTACTGATTAAATATCAAAATAGCGTACACAGATCTGTATAAAGGTATACTCAAAATAAAGTACAAACCATGAAATATTCAGCACTTTAATCAAAGTTTGTGGTCTGTAAAACACAAGTCAAATTACCACTCGGGCACTAAGCCCAAAGTTTTGATTCCTGTACTTGTGCAGCTCCATAACTATACATCGCGCAAATATGCTGGAGCTGAGAACACAGAACTTCACGCGGGTAATGCTGTACCTGAGCACGTTAATCAAATTGTGGATTGTCCTGCAACGTGCATGTTAAAAATCCAGCACGGTGTCCCTTACAATATGTTCACCATGTGTGTCTCTTACAGCTGCTGAGAAACGCAAGAAGAGTAGCTAACCTAACAAACGAAGCACATTCCTCTTATCTCTGCATATCGCAGCCCTATGTATTGGAATCAGAGCACTTGCAAAAGTAAAAAGGTCTAAGGCATATGTGGATTTCTTTAAAATGAGTCCATTTCCAAATATATTTTCTCTTGTTTATCACAGCTTCATCTGGTACAATGTCACAGGCTGTATTACAACTTTTTACTTCCTCTCTGGTATTAAGTAAAATACTTTCTTTAGTATTCAACCCAGATTAAAGAAACAGTGCTGTCTGAAATCATAGGTCCTGAGGAGGTCTTAGAAAATTTACTGGGACAAAATTAAAACGGACATTTCAAACTGGACTAAACTTCCTCAGTTAATATTCGAAACTGCTTTGTGGAGATTTTTAGTCCCATGTAAACTGGACTTTAACACACAAATGCGCATACCAGGGAATAAAGTTAAAGCTCAAGACTCCCAGCAACAGACTTCCCAACAGAATGCACAATTAAAAAGAAATTGTCAAAAGTACAGTACCATGTAGAGATAGGGATATATCTGATTGCTGTTGAATCCAGAGCTGCTTTTAAGCTCATTGCTGTTGATTAACTGTAACACTGTACAGATCAGGAACTTTTTTTCCTTTAGCTTCTCCTGACTCCCTAAGGTACACCCTAAGGTGCATGCCCCATAGTATCAGAACCGCTGGGTTATGTGACCAGATGTCAATTTACCAACCCTATAGCAAAACTATTGTGTCATATTACTACTATCAGCTATTTTTCCATTTTATCTATTTTTAACTCTAATGAAACCCTAATGAAACTAAAGTGCTAAAATTGACAAAAAATACACAAATTACAAGCAAGTTCAAATAGTATCTAAAATGAGGTGATGGGAACTCAAACACTGTGGTGGTAAATGATCGACATTTAATGCCAAGAATCTTGTTTCTTGCCTGCCTTAGAAAATCCCTCTCAAACTGTGAAACAGTCTGCTAGCAGGAAGCAGGACAAAAGATCAGATGTCTCGCTACTCTGTGAGGCATTGGCTCACTGGCTCCACAGTCTTAGACTGTTCAATGGAGAAACAGTGCCTCCCAGAGCTTACAGTGAATAGGACTATGAGGAATGAAAATGGACACCTAAAAAAGTGATAGAAGTACAGGTATCATCCAGATTAGAACACTATTTTTGCATAAACTAAAGTTAACTAACCAATAGTTTTGATTTGGTTTGAAATCTGACAACCATATTGGCGATTTATGTTATTATTACAAATAATAAAAGTATAATATATGAATATTGGATCCTATTAAAGTAATCTCTGTGCAAGACAATAAACATATCTAAAATGTCAATGTGAAACAGCTACACTGGAACTCTTCTTTTATACAAAAATCATCATGCTCACTTAATAAAGACATGAATACATACCTAAACAAAGCACGTCTTCAGGATCAAGACAGAAAAAGACCTTTACCTGCTGCATTGTTCACTGCAGGGTTAACAACTCATGCCCTACCCTGACCCGGGGTTATTCCCCTTTGGAAACAGAAGGAAGTCACCGAGGCACTGTTGCTGACCTGTGGCCCCAGCAGCATGCGCCTGCTCTAGGCTGCCTCCCCCTTGCTCCGGCTCACTATTGCCCAGCTGACGAGGTGATGTGAAGAAGTCATTCGTGTCACGAGGCTGAATCTCCTGCAGGATCTGCTGCAGGCAGGCAGATGATTCTGAGAGAAAGACATAACGCATCGAGACCTCAACTCGTGCCTCATGTAAAAACCCATGTCCGATCAACGCTGAATGTAATGGATTGATCCTCTTTTATTCAGAGTAATGTCAAGCAGGCCTCACCCGAGTCAGTGTCCATGGGAATGAGTCCCTCGGGGGAGGAGCTCTGTACAACAGGTGACACAACATCAGACATCCTGTAGGACATCTCAATGAGCTCTGCCACCACTGGCCTCCACTCTGCCACCAGCAAGAGGGACCTGTCGAAAAGTCAAGACTTAACAGTTGTACTGCCCCAGCTCTGTCTGAAGAAAATATAAGTTCATTCAAAATGAAAGCTTCCAGAGTAACATGATAAAAACGCTGGCAAGCCCACGCAGGGGTGTGGGTGCAGTGAGGGAGCAGTTTGATACTCACTGTGAGTCGAGCTGCTGCAGTGCCACAGTGATGCAATGGGCTCGTCCATAAAGGGGGTAGGAGGCCGCAGCTTGCAGGAGAGAGGTCTCAGCTTGAGCAACCTCAGCTTTTAGACACGCCAGGAGGAACAGCACCACTGCAAAATGGCAGAGAAGAGACATCAGTCATTCAGACAAGAGTGAGAAAACACCGCACAAGACCGTACCATTAATGCATGGGCTTCAGGGAGTCTACGTTTTAATTTTCTGTAATCACATTTTCATAGGGGCAGAAAACAATCCAAAATGGCCACCTAACATACGAAAACCATTCCAAATTCTCTCCATGCCCTCTCCTTCTCCCATCCCCCAAATCCTCCCTGGGCGGTATCCCCTCCCACCCGCCCCCTAAACCACCAGTTCTACCCAGCTGGCAGCCCCCTCCTTCCTCAGCCACAGATGATCACAAAAACCGCATTGGAGAGCAGTATTTAAGGGCTGGCTCAACAAGGAGAAGGCCTCATAAAGGGGAGAGCCCACTGATGCCAGGAAAGGGAATGTGGAAGCCAGCAGCTCTGAGAAAACAGCTTCTAGGGGTAGTTCTACCAGCCACTTAGATTTAACAATTAAGTCATCATACAACTTAAGAAACAGGAGAGGGCAAGGGGAGATGATTTTTTTACCAAAATAGCAAAGCTGAGGAAACTCAGCCCCCAAAACACAGCTGCTTCCTAATTCTATGGATAAACCCAAAATAGATTAAAGGATGGCCAAGGACTTTACAAATCGCAATGTCGATTCCAGTACCACTGGTAAAACTCACAGACAGCATTATTATAAATTAGATTATAAACATGAATAATGCCATTGTCATATGTCTGATTATTTAGTTGACTGTAGCTCTATACCCAGTATGATTAGATAAAAGCAAATCTGAAACACATTTGTGCATGCACAGCAATTTTAGGCATCCGTTTGTAGTCCAGTGTTTATGGTGGCGAGTATGTCTGAAATGGCCTTTCAGTATCAACTTGGAAAGAAACTGGTTTAGCCTTTGCACATTAACTATCCAGAAGGAGAGCATTACACAAAAAAACAAAAATTTCAAGGATTAAACAGCAAAAGGAAATGTCATTTGTTCCAAGATGAATTCCAGCTGTTTCTGGACAGTGCAGAGGCTCCAGTTTATAAGAGAGAAACAGAGTCATAATGGAAATGTTTAGAGTACCACTGAGCTGTTGTCAGCAATTCATCTTTACTTTGCTTTTTAACTACCCACAGATGATTAATTTTTTTGGTGCACATATGCTGTAAATTACATGAGCTTCTAAATATATGACTAGTGTTCCTAACTGACCTAACAGATGAAAGCTGAAAGAATGTTGTAACTTTAAAACTCGGTAAACAAAACACAGCTAAGCCGTGCCATGTGCTGTACGCACCACACAAATATCAAAAAGTACACTCACAGAGTTATAAACAACGTGAGGCTTAAAGACAGGCTCATGTATTCAGAGCATCCTACATGAAGCTTTAAACAAGTACAGCTTTGGTGTCAGGAAAAAAATAATTAAGGCCTAAGTTGCTCTGAATGTTGACAATGTTTAAACTCTTACTTCCAGATATATACAGACAACCTACATTAAGTGTTTAAGGATCCACTATGTGCTGTAACCTGAAAATATGAAGAAAGAATGAGCCTTTCAGTACAAGAAAGGGACTGGCACATACCAGAAACACCAAAGCAACTGTAAGTTACATAATATTTTTTTCTGTAAAACGGTAAATTCCAGTAAATTAATTACCATGATGGCTAATAACGCAACATTATTTTTTTACATTCACACAATATTAAAGCAATTTATCTTTTCTGATTTTGTACATCTTTTACATATTTCTGTACGTATTTGCCAGTAAAAATAATTTATTGAACTGAGTGATATGAATACTCAATACCATTATGTTCAATAGGAAAAAGACACAAAGTTCATACCTGCTAATGTGTTCCTCTCAAGCTTAAAGGCCTTAGAAGCCGGGGACTCTCCTGGTGTGGGTGGCTGAAATGAGATGCACTGTTCTTGGGCACGGTGGCTCAACGCCTCCACCAGCCCTTCCTCATAGACCAGCAAGTTGAGGAGGTGGGAGGCAGTGACACTATCAAAGGGCTTGGTGCTGGTGCTGAGGTCCAGAGCGACTCGAAGCAGCGAGCTCAGCCTGCCGGGCTCCTGTGTCCCAGGACAGAGAACAGAAACACATATGGATAATGAAACAGCACTAACACTACACTGTGGCAGGATCAATCATGCAATTGCTGCAAACAGTTTGTGCTTTGGGGATTATGAAAATTTAACACATAATTATTCAATGCATTAAGAGATAACATTCATTTTTACTGAAACACTTCTGAACCAAGTACAACAGAGACAAGCAACCAGAACTAAATCTGCTTTTAACAACTTCTTCTCTAGAACACCAATGATTTGAAGTAAAAAAAGAAGAACAAGTTCACAACAGGCAAGTTAGAAACTCAAAAAATGAAAAATAAATGTTTTAGTGGCCTGGAGTGGCTTTTTTAAAAAAAAAAACCTTGCAATACTCAATTTTTTTGACATACTCAGTTGATTTCAAATCACCAATTATTCATAACTCAGCTTACCAGCAATGAGCCCTGTCCACTCTGGAAGAAATGGGGACTGTAGACAGGCCCCTCTAGCACACCTAACTGTGTGAACTATTCAGCCTTCTTGACACGTTGCAAACTACAGAATGCCTCTCAGGAGAGTGCAACAGAGCCACCATTTCAACAACAGTGGAGAGACTTTTTGACCAACTGATGTCCACCCTACAAGGTCCAACCATGTGCCAGTGCTTGGGCAATCCTGGCCACAGCAGGCTAGTAACACAGCCCATGTTCAATCCCGTGAGGTCTCAGAACAAGTGCAGGAGTCACTGGTGTTACTGGCACAAATTTTTCCTTTTACTTAATCTCTATTTTGCTCTGATGTACTGAATAAATAAGACGCTTTTCTCCAGAGTGCAGGACACACCAACAGGCTGTCTGAGGGATAGGGAGCTGTCATTGTTGGCACAAAGAACTAGTAGATACCATGGAGATCGAATGCCATTTAAAATTTTGAGCAGAGCTGTGCTTGGGTTACTTGTATTTTAATATACAGAGAAGAGCCTGAATACATATTAGTGGCTGCTATGCATACAATTACCAGCCAGGCCTGTGTGAGAGGCAGTGAGTCTGACCTGCAGGCCGAGGGCTGGAGGAGGTAGTCTCCTCAGCAGCTGGAAGGCCAGCTGCTTGACCTCCAGGAAGGAGCTGGCCAGGCAGTACAGCACGGCCTGTGCCTGAGAAGGGGTCACCATCTGTCCCAGTGAAAACAAACAAGGACCAGAATCCGCTGATGGGGGGAAAGACAGAGGAAGAGAGGCTGTCAGGACACTGCACACAGCAAAGTGAGAATTATAGAAGCATTTTTACAGAGGTGAGATTTAGCATATTAAACACATATGAATCACAAAACTCAACTATGTATACTGAGCACCTGTTGGCTACATTTTTAAATTCATGAATGAGTAGAGGGAAGAAAAAATGAAATATTAGCACAGAGCTACACAGATGACATTGAAACCACCAACAGAATATTCACATTTCAAAACTTTCACACAGGTGAATTGAGAACAAATTCTCATTCACCATGAGGACCTGGAAACCCATTTATTCGACAGTGTTAACTAGAGCACTTTCAGAAAGTACTTTGCTCAAGAGTCTAACAGCAGCATCACATTCACTAAGATCTGAACCTATGCTACTCCAATCTTAGTCAGAAGACATGAACATAAAAGCATACAAACAAGGTCTCCAGTAAGTATTGTCCTACCGAGAAAAAACCACATTAAGATTTTTAAAATTACCATGAGGCTGTTAATGTTCTGTCTTTTAATATTGCTTAAAATGATACTAAAAAACAGGAGGAAAATCTCTCTGTTCAGGAGTTGTAGGACAGACCTGTGCTGAAGGAGAAGAGGTCAGCGATGAGTCCCAGCAGGTGTAACGCAGTGAAACAGGTGGGGAAGGAGGCACCAGGGAACAGGGCTTGGAAGAGGGCCTCACATAGCCAGTGCAGAAACTCCTACAGCACAGCACACAAACCACGGCACTGGACATGGGCTAAGACACCTCCAGGCGGTACAACAGAACACTGTACTGCTAAATTCTTAAAGCCTTATGCATAAAGTAAAAATAGCATTTCTTTGAAGGCCAAACAAAATACCCTAAAGTTGAAATTGTGCAACATAGCCAATTTACATTCAGGAAGGACTGCAATGAAACAATGTAAGAGGAAAATCTAGGAGTTTGTTAAATTACATTCCTTAACTAGACAATGTCAGAAAATGCTTGCATACACAGTTAAAAACATTTCATTTGAATTAACAGATGTAATGTTAAAATTACAGAATGGGAGAGCTGGACTACATTCAGAATGCAGATAGTGTTGCAACAGAGTAAACACTAAGAAGAGTAAACAGACTAATTTCTGGTCTGAAAGGAATGCTGTATTCAGACAGATTAAGGGAATTGAGTTTTTCTTGCCTGGAATTAAGACGATTCAGTTCCAGGGGATATTTTCAAGCTCAGCAATGAGACCACAGACATAAGTGGTGCTAGGTTTAGGAGCATTTAGTACCAAAAACAAGAGATTTCTCTTTCCAGAGTTTTAAACCAACTGCCTAGACTCAATTTTGACGCTAAGAAAGGCAGGCCAGACTACCTCCTTTCGCTTGTAAAGTGTATGTTCTTCACGTTGTGGTGGTGAAAAAGCCATATTGAATATGGCACGGTTTCTCCCTGATCCAAGTGTACAGCCGTGCGTGTGGCCCTCCTGTCATCCATTAGACACTGTACCTCATATGTCTGCAGTGTGGTCCTGTTCCCATGCTCCTGGCCCTGCTCCTCTGGCCTGTCCTGCTCCAGCCTCCTCTGCAGCAGCTGGGCACTGTCCCTCATCCTGCACAGCAGCTGGAGGGAAGCACAGGATACACAGCAAGTGTCCATGGGTCTAATGCTGACCTACCGCATAGGTAAAAGCACCACATGCTCAGCACAGGCAAGAACACACTGTCCTATACATGCTAAAAAACGCTGTGCCTTTTTCTAATGCCAAAAGGCAATGTGAGCTTAACTTATCAAAGCATATAAAGCTACCAGCTGGTGAGCTGTTAGGTAGAACAAGAACTATTATCACATTGCTTTGATATGCTGCAGAACAGGGGCGTGACCAACATGACAGTAAGAGCTCAAGAATGAAATTTTAAGAAAGCCGGCTCAGGGCCGGATAAGGACAGAAAAAGGGACTACACAAAATCAAAAACTGAATCTGAAAACTGAAATTGAATCAAAATTCCAGCAGAGGGCACTGCTACACAAAAGTAAGAACCGGCTCTCGCAGCTATAGAATCACAGAGTTTAAATTAAAGCATAGTCTTCTGACTTTTTTAAAGATTCTTTTGTGTTCAAATAGTTCCAGTACATATATATAATATAAACTGTTGATTGGGGTTTACACTGAAGACCCTTCACAAACCAGGGAGGTGAGAACTGTACATGCCTTCCTTGGCCATGCTTCCTGTTGAGAGTCCCACAATGCCTACAGGACTGTTAGTATGAGCTGCAGGAGAAATGGAACTGTCACAGTTGCTCACAGCTGCCTGACTGTAGACAGAGATCACTGCTGCTCTGAAAGCTTAGGAATTACCTACCTGACTCCTACCTGTCCACCCCTCGTCAAAGACAACCAAGCCTCAGTACATGGACTCCTAAGGGAATTCTGGTCAGAGCCTGACTCTCACCAGAATTACTGACTCAAACTATCAATGCCTGGTCTATAGGACTCAATATGCACTTGAACGACTGCCTTTCCTGGTTGGATTACTCATCAATTACTCATCACCCTGTTGCTCTTTTGAAACTCTTTTAAAACCAGCATGCCAAGCCCAAGTGAAGACCCTAAGGTCAGGGTCTGACCTTCTTCAGCAGGCTGAGAGTCTGCTGTCTCACTCCTGGAGACTGGCTATTCAGGCTGCTGGGCAGGAAGAAGCGAATCAGATCCATTTCCTCTGGAGATAGGTTCTCTGTGCTGCGGTGGCTCTCACAGATCAGCCCCAGGGCATCCAAACGAACCTGTTGCATACACAGACAGGTGCGCACATTACAAATGCAAAACCTGTACTGCAAAGTTAAATATGATTCACCTCATATTGCTATTATATTAAACTCACACCAGCTTTTGAAAACTGAGATCTATTTGCTGTACAGATTTCCCATGTATTCAATATTACCAGCAGATTATGTTTATTGTGTGCTCCCTTTAACCTTGCTGACCTGTTAGATATTATCAACATTTTAACTGATCTTTTTTTTTTCTAGTCCTTTTTTTCTACAGTCCTTTGCACATCTCAACGCATACAATTTCAATTTCTGGTGCCTCCGCACATCAGCATCAAACAAACTAGCTTAAGTTCAAGCCTGTCATCTTCTGCCAAGATTTATTTGCCAATCAACCACCTGTTGATGAATGTACAGTACCTGGTCATGTTTGTGCACCAGGGCCTGAGAGAGCAGTTTCAGGGGAACCAGCCCCCCCCACAGCCCCTCTTGAGAGGAACTGACTACGCCCTGGGCCCGGGCCGCTCGCAGACAGGTCACCAGAGCTCCCAGGGCCCCCCTGCAGTCTGGAGAGCCTGCCAGACCGGACAGAAACACGGGTTACATAAAACACAAGAGGGGCGGCTGTCAGCCCATCTTGGACAGCCAGCAGCCCACAGCTCGCTGATCCAAGAACCTCATCACAGAAAATGACAACCTTTTTTGGAGATGCTGCACTGGCATTTTATGGAATAGACTTGATGTAGGCAAATCCATCATGCTGATTTCTCACCCACATGGCTGACAGAGGGTCTGTTACCTCTGTAGTAAGCAGCATGTGTAGCCACTGCTGGAAGAGGTTCACTTTCTAATTCACACCAGGCTGGCAGAAGCTATCGTATGGGATTTTGTTACCTGTGTTATTACCTGCTGGGCTGTGCTGGCTACTCTGCAGGGCACGAACCATGTGCTCCACGCTGCCAGGGCTGCATCTCAGTATCTTGGGCAGGCAGTAGTCCAGGATGTAGGTGGTCTGGTCCAGCTGACCTTCACACAGAGCTGCCAGCAGAGGTGTCACCCAGGTCTGGTGCCACATCTCCATCCACGAATCCCCCCGTTCATGACAGGATGCCAGCTGAGCCTTGTGGTTCACAAACAGCGTCTCCAGGAGGCTGCTGGCATAGGGGGCGAGAGACTGATCCCCCATGAGAGAGAGAAGCTGTGCAGGAAGCTGAGGATCTAGAGCGAGGAGGCTCTCTGCACCCAGGTAGTCCACCAGACAGCTCAGAGAGCCGTACTTCCCTTTGCTGTGCCACTCAAGCCCTAGCAGGCTGTGGGTCAGGCTGGTGATAAAGGGGTCTGCAAGGGGGTCAGGTATTCGCGTGGCGATCTGGTGCAGCTTGAGCACGTTCTTAAACAGGGCTTTGGTCTGATGCCGGACGCCATCCAGAGGATGCTCCCAATGTGCATAGATGTGTTCCAGCAGGCGTCCCACCAGCTCGGTGCCCCCCGTCAGGGAATGCCTGAGGCTTGCAGAGCAGTGCTCCCCCTGCAGGACTTCCAGGGCTGCACAGCTCCATAGAGTCAAGACACGAGCCACCGAGATTGCAGTGCTGGACTCTCGCACACTGCAGATACAGAAATACAGACAGGAACACCTCCACTACACAGCCATTAGCATGTCTTTAATCTTAGTGTACGCACTGTTAAATTACACTAATTATATTATTGTTAAAAAGTTAGTGTACTAAACCTTTTAAGAGATCATAACTAGGCTTCTCGGGACCCAGGAAAAAGCATGAAAGAAAACAAAAACATAAAAATGCACATGCAAGCAGCAGTGTCAAATACTCAACTGAACTTTTAAGAATGCCCCGTGGAGAGAAGGGGGATTAAGTGTCCAATGAAATCTGCTCTTGTACCTTGAATGAAGAACTTTACTCAATTTTCTCCAGTCCACTCAGATCTGTATAACTGGGGACAAGCATTGCTGAGAATGTACAGGTCTCTGCTTAATGCTACAGAAACGGGATGAGCTCTGGCCCAATGAGTTGTTGTGGCATCGTATAGATTGTCTTTACCTGTGCTAAGGTAGAATGGAATGACTCTTTGCATTGGAAGTGGGAGGAAGGAGGAAAAGGGAGAACTAATTATGGTCTGACCTGGAGTCCAGAGAGAGCAAAGCTTTGGGAATGAGCAACAAGAGCCTCTCCTCGCCTGATCTAGCGGCCTTGCCCCGCCAGGACAGCATAGCCAGAGCTCCATGGCACAGGAACAGGGTCACACTGGTGGGGCGGACGCAGTGGTACAGCTCTCCACAGCTCTCTAACAACCACTGAGGTGCACTGCCCACACGCTCCTCTGAGCCCAGCAACAGACTGGCCACCTGTCACACAAAGAGCACACACACATCAGCCCAACATTGGCTGCTGGAAGAGACAGCCCATAAATCAGCAACAATCAACACTGGTGTTTCTTAATAGGTCCACTTTATGGAGTGCTGAACTTCAAATCTTATTAATGTCACAACTTAAAATTGGGACTGTTTCTGTCCTAATTAAAACAGCATTCTCCCTCAGATGTTACAGGAGCAGTGAACAGGTTTCTGTGCCAAACATGTTCCGCACTTTTGTAGTTTATTCTTTATATTTATTTTCCTGGAAAGGAAGACATAATTGTAACTATGGGCAGGATAACTGAATTTCAAGGCATATTTCAGTTGATCCAATAATGATAATGTTCAATACCCTGTATCCAGTAGAAACACTGGTCAATAATGGACTCACCACACTGGCCACACAGTCACTGGGCCCCGTCATGCTCCTAGTCAGCAGTACTACTGCCATGCCTGCAGTGCTCTGGACTGTCTGCACAAAGTCACCTGCCCAGGAGGCAAAGACATGAAGCAAATACCATCAAGGGGACAAAAAAGGAAAGCAATGCAAAAATAGAGGAAAAAACTAAAAATAAAGCCAGTCCATACTGTATAAACCAAGAGACTTCTCACTCCATTTCATGTTTGTGATTGGCCTTCGTGTCAAGACAGTCACTGAGGAGAGTGCAAAGTGGCTGCCTTACCCTCAGTGAGTATGCTGGTGTAGCAGCGCAACAGGTCACACAGTGTGTCCATCAGGGGGCTGTCAGGTGCTGCCTGCAGGACTGCAGTGATCTGCTTTTGGGATCTCTGTACCACCAGCATGGAAGCTTTCACTGTGGCCAAGCATGCCTGCATCAGCTGGGCCTGAGCAACCGGACTGCCTACCAGACGACTACAAACAGAATAGAATGCTCAGACACTACCACCTCAGCTTCCAAAATCTAGATATGGCATTAAAATATTAACCCTAAACAGTGTTAGGCACAACATTCAAATACCATACCAAAGCACTGTACATATCAATGGCAAACAAGTTCAGATCTCTTGAACTGCTTCACGCAATACTTAGAAAATTATTTCAAACAACTAGATCGTTAAAAAGTACACTCTGTGGAGCCAAAAAAATTCATACTTTTTACAGATGAAACTATGTGAAACATGTTACCATGGGCAACTCCAGTAAAAGACACGTAAGTTGAGACACTTAAGGTAGCTTAATATCATCTCCATTTGTGCCTATGAGGGCATGTTTGCTTGATAATACAGCATATATATCAGTCATGTGAGTGAAATTGTTCAGTTGCCATCTAAATGTGATATCCACGTGGTCCAACATATACACTGTATGTGTAGCCCATTTCACTGTCTCAGAGTACACAGCCTTCAGAACACAGCACCATTCATGAACAATTAAAACAACAGGAGTGTACCAATAATTACCCCAATTTTACCTGTTCTGTTGTTGATATTCAGACAGGGCCTTCTGAAGAAACTGCAACACTGTAAAGATAAAAAAGCAAATCTAATGCTCACACAAGTTTGGCACTGTAAATTACTCTGCCCAAAGCAAAGAGGTCTGACAGGAAATCTCATTAAAAGTTTAGCTGAACTTATTTGCATAAATGACGTTGCACTGCAAGTAATAATTATGGAAACATACAGTAATTACATTTTTACATTTTATTGCGCCTTTATAGGACCCTTTACAGAAATTTGCTGGAATCTGAGTTTATGCTAGTCTTAAAAACCATCAAAATCCCAACTTGCCTTCTGTTAGTAAACTGTGAATGCAACTTTCACCTGTGGGTAGAAAAAAAAAGTGTAATTGGTTCTGTAGCTCCCAAACCAAAATATTTTCCCATGTACACAACCAAATCAGGAACTGGGATGGGTCAAATATAAAAAGATGATACAAGTCAAAAAGGCCAAGGCAATAAGAATAAGAATAAGGTAATTCTGTTAAATATCTGATGTAAAACTGCACTGTATAATAGGAAAGTTCAGACAACCTTGCTCCCTAGATAATTCACAAATGAGAACATAGCAGTTTGAAGTCATTAATAAAGTGGGAACCACGTTACTACAAACATATCTGCCCTGTTTAACTCCTAGTCTTGAAACAGCTTTATTCTTGAATTGGTTTTAAAATAATTCATAGTTGGATCTTTGCTCGAAAGTGAGAGATCTTACAGAGACAGGTGTGTTTATTCTGAATTCATGTGAACCACTCTTTCTGCAAAAAGGCTATACAACTAATTGTGTGACCTGTATAATAAACTTTCACTTTATAAACTTTCATGAATTTACAAACTGTTATGGTTTGCCATAATAAAGGGAGTGAAAACATATGCAACCAACATTTTAATTCTGGATTTTTCTTTGCTCCTTATACTGACATTTAACTTGTTTCCTCCATCAAAGTGATCAGTTTGAGCATTTGTGACTAAAATATTTACTTCAGAAAATGTGACACTGCACATTAGTGGAATTCAAATAAATTGGACAGCTCCTCAAGAACACAAATAATCTTACAGGGCTCTGTATAGGGGAATGGCCTCCACCATAGAGGAGATCTCAGAAAAAAATGGCTGTCAAAGGAAATGGACCAAGGAAATCCTAATACAACTTTATGGAAAAATATTTTATAGTAAACAACTGTATGAAACAACAAATTGAAATATTTGAGATGTAGAACCTGTAGAACCTTGTTAATGTTGTTACAAGCTTTTAATACAAAAGTTTAAACTAAAAGGTTTCACATGGTTGGTTTAATACACAAATTAAAGAACAAATTAAAAAACAAAGCTATATTGGATCCCAAACAATAGAGAAAAATTGCAAACTTTTGCATCGCATCATATTTCACATGACACTTGCTCTATCACATTCAAACCTGAAACATACCCAGGTGGAAGCCGTCAAGGCAGGCAGTGATGGTATCGGTAAGGTGTGCGTAGTGCGTTGAGCTGCATGTGGTCAGGCTCTGTGACAAACGCTGGGACAGGCAGCGCACAGCTTGGTTCTGCAGACAGCCTGGTACTGTGCTCAGAGCACTGCAGAGAGGACACACTGGGGTAAGAGCACTACCACGTGCACACAGCCTTTCCTGAAGGTCTTGGCACATCTGCTTTGCTGACCTCACTGAGACACATACTGTTTTGTACCATGAACAGTGTGGGGACTGAGCACCTCCGGTGGTTTAAACACTGTGCATTTAATGCTTGTGCAAAGTGCAAAGAGGCAGTAAGAAGCTGCGCACCCCATAATCAGGTGTCTCTCTGCCCCAGCCCAGACCAGAGAATGGGTTTCATGTGATGTGCCTTTACCCAAAAACTTCTGCAAAGGTCTAAGCATAATGACAGGTAAATCTGGCATTAGGACAAGAAATCTGCCCGCACCTTGCAAGAGCTCTCTTCAGTGGGTTTCTGGAGTGCAGGGAGAAGAAAACGCAGGCCAATGTCTCCAGGCAGGCATTCATCAGCGGGCTTTCAGCCTCGTCTTCACTCAGCTGCTCCAGAAGGGAACCAACCTAAGAATACAGCACGAAATAAACTGGCCATTCTTGTTTTATCGTAGTCCAGCAGACAACTCTTGGTTTGAGCAGTGTGCTTGTTTTCCCACAGACATATATCAAACCTTTTCTTAAATTACTAGTGCTTGTCCCCTGTAAAAAGAGAAGAATTGACATAAGAAGTCCACTCATGTCTAACATGTCGATTTAATCTAATTCCACTATTGCTGAAGGATACACCCATACTGTAGCTTCAAGCACAAATCGCAAAACAGCAAGAAAGTAGGACTCCTTTAAAAAATCATGGATATCAATGATAGGCGTTCCAGTAGAAGAACTGATTATAAAAAGTACTTACTTTTTTAATCAGCTGTATCTGCTGGACTCCATCTGTTAGCTTGGCACACTCCTGCAAGAACTCAGCAATTTGCTCTGCCAAGGGGTCACCTTTGAGAGCTACAGGAAAACATCCAACCTGATGTTAGACAAGGTCAACACAAACAGGCCAGGCCTCCACAATTCGTAAATGACAGGTTTAGATCTAGTGCAAACTGGCTTAATGTCACTTATACCATGACAACGTGTTCACTTACACGCAAACAGATTCAGCACTCACAGACAAATGTCATTTAATTCAATAGGAAGCAGAAAGACTACATGTCCATAAGTTTGAATGTTAAAGAGTAATGACATCCAGTGTAGTTTCTGGAATTACTGGAAGCAAAGATGACCACCAGTTGAGAGGATCGGTTTTCTTCATTTAGATCAAAAGAATATCACACACTAGACAAGACCATTCAGGTCTTGTCGTATTGCTTGATGTTAATTATGGCAACCTCTTGAAATTCTTTATTTATCTACCCGTGTAGAACATTCCTTTAAGTCCAGGAAAAACCTGGTTGTTCTTTTTTGGGCAGACTCCAAAGCACCAATATCATTTTTGTAATGTGGTGACTAATACTGTACACTCATACTTCCTCCCTTGTCCTTCAACCATCATCCTGTACTCACCACCCAGATTCTCCAGCTGTCCACTGTCCAGAATAAGGGCCTCCACTTTAACCTCTTTCTTCTTTAAAACCATCTTTCTAACAGTTTACAATCCTTCAAGAAAAGAGTGAGTGGGAAGAGAGTTCACAGACCTGACTTCACAAAGAATGTGTGTAATGCTTACAAGCACAAGAATCACGTTTGAAGTTAAATACAGTACTTAAATGCCTGCATAACTGTAAAATTATCCATTGTAATTATCTTATTTTTAATGTACTCTGACTCCCTCAAGTAGGTTAATAAACGATTTTCTGGTTAGTAAACAACATTTCAAAGTGATGTCTCGCAGGACATCCTCTGAGCAATAGGAAACACTGAAGGGAAGAGAAAGTAGGGAGGTCATTAAAATTAACTACAGATGTAGAAATAAACTAACGTGACTTCATGCCTCATGTTGATCGTCTAAAATCACGGCAATGCCAGTCAACTGCAAATGCAAAATCCTGCAAAATCACAAATAATAGCATTAAGCAAAAGAGCATCATATACAATATAAATGTAATATACAGAGGATTCTTAGTTAACTGTGTAAATTAAAAACGTGCTGTACGTGTTCTGTAATTTATAGTGATTGTATTATACTACAAAGCGATATTACTGTTATAATAACGTACAAGTGCAGATTAATTTTGATGTTTTTCCCCAATAAATGAAAGCGTTTACAAAGGAAAGCATGCACTTTATATTAAAAGGTCGCACCTTTGCCCATACACTGACAGTAAATGCGTGCCCAAAGTAATCGTGAACTGAAAGCATAATTTCCAGTAAAACAAAGCGCACATAAAACTCACACGTTTTGTATAAATTACTTCATTTACTGCACAGACATCAAAGCGATAAACCAGAGGCTCCCGTACTGTAGCCGTGCTACACGTGTAGCACGTCAATTCCGGGAGCAGGAAACCCGCCTCCGGGCTACATTGAGTGGACAGATGCTCGAAAAAATACACGCCTCCTCCTCTTTAACCCTCTCCTGAACCGTTCATCTGACTGTCAATCAATTTACATTTCCCCTCCTGAATAATATGCATAGACACGCCTTGCTATCTGTTGATTGGCCAGCATGCGAGCGCTGTAACGCCCCATGACTGCCAGGCGATTTCCAAAGTGGGACACACTATTGAAACTGGAAACTTTGGTGAAAGTGTGGAATTCCTCATTTTTATTCCACAACTAGGTTCATATGATGGGAATAAGGCAACGGAAGATATGAGCGATATGGAATAGAAGCCAGATTAACTCCCAAACCGTATTTTCCTTCATATTGCTGGGTAAGGATTTAATTTTACAGTTCTTCATTAATAACTGAGAAAAGTAGATTTGGGACTGCTTCTGCAGTGCTTTTACGTTATACACTACTGTATGTTCTGGAGAAAAATCGTACACAATTCACATTGTGTTAAAACATTCAGCACTGTGGAGAGGGAGAAAACTGACCTTCGACATGTTTTTGAATAAGACTGCATTTCTCAAACCTGGGGGAAAAGAGCAAAGCATTCCTACAGTATTTCTTAGGGGACGTATATTTAACCCTTTATTATATAATATGATATTGCAATACCAAGTGACGTTATACAACTGTGGCGGAACTGTCCTGCACTATTACAAATGATACATATTATTTTCATTAACATTAAAATGTTAATTTCTGTAAAATAATATATTCATATATTTTAATTTTCGCCCACATAGTCAATAGCAGTGCTATATTTGTAGTCATAATGTCTGTACATTGTAAGAGAAGGGTTTGCACCCACATGGTTTGTAAATTTTGACGTTAGGTACTTTTGTCTGTAGTACTGGGTCAAGTATATATAATATATAAACTCTTTGGATCAGATTTTAATTATGTTTCAGTTAGTGTCCCCCATGCGATGCTCAATCAAACTTCAATTTGTTTTACTCAAGCACATTAAATAATAAACCCACATTTGTTCCCAATTGACTTATCTGGTTAGACACATATTTAATGTATTATTATGGTCAGCTTCAGCTCAAAGCACTGATCTTGCTACAACAGATTGAGTCTAGAGAGTATTGAAATGTCTTCAGCCAGTGGCTGTAGATCTTAATCTTGATTAATTAAATTGAATAGGTTGTTCAGTATTTGAGGTTTAATGAAAACCAGAAGCTAGGACTGGAGCATGAAAACTTATGAAAGGTTATAAATGAGAGGAGGTCATTCAGCCGATCTGGTCGTTAGTAGCTAATTCGTTAGTAGCTAATTCGTTAGTAGCTAATTCATCCCAGGATCTCAGGCAGACGTTTCTTGAAAGAAGCCAGGGGATTGGTTTATAATCACTACTGTACCTTTCAACAAAAATAATTACATTATGACATACTGCTCCTGGAACCCACAAACCATTTTGCATTTTAAGCACTAACAAATCAAGCAATTCACTGACAAAAGTAAATGATGGTGCAATTTCCTAGAAAGGCTGTTAGAAAAATAACAGATTAACCTCCAAGTCAGACCTGATAAAGGGGCAGTTATAGAGAACAATAACCATGTCCTTCCTCCAGGCTGTCTGTTCTTGTTCGGTAAGTTTCTTCAAGCCACTTGAAATTGTAATATACTGTATATCCATTTAGCCTGTATTGATGTTTCCATGAATCTTCCAAGTTATAAACGTAAGGTTTAACTTTAAAAGTTACCCAAGTCATGAAAACAGTTAATAATTAGTAAGTGCAAGTTTAGAACTTTTTCATCCTAAACGGTCCAAAATCACTTTACAAATAAAGGAGGGGACCACTTCTTTCATATCTGAAGCTCATCTGGGTGATGTGTGGCCACCAGCATCCCCACTACACAGACGCACAGGTGGAGAAATGAGAAATTACATCACCAGCTGAATTAGAGAGGCCAGATTGTACTAACCAAAACGCTTACAAAACTAGTTTAGTAGACTAAGCCAACAAATGCAAGACAGAGTTATTGTTGTAAATAATGTGAAGGATTATTACAATACAATACATCTAAATAACAAGTATGCAACAGAATTCAAAAATTAATAAAAGGATGATATCTGATTTTCAGTAATGGGTAGTATGATGTAACACGATGGGAGATTATAGATTGTAAAGGATTGTAGGAGCCAAAACTGCACTATAGTCATGCTTTGGTATGGCTCAATTTTATTACTGGCCATATAGTATATCTGCAATCATTAAAGGCCAGAGTTGTTACAAATCAGTCAGCACAGACTCTGAGGCTGTACCATTAAACATCTAATGTGATAATATTTTATTCTTTCATATCAAGCTTTTCTCTTTAGGACTTTCTTTTTTAGACATCAGCATAAACATCCATTTGTCCATCTCTTTCCTAACCACTTTCAGTTTAGGATTGAGCCAGAACAAGCAACGGAAAGCAACAGGTGCAAGGCAGAATACACCCTGGGAGGGACACCAGTCCACTGCAGGGAAGACACAGACACAAACACACACACTCACACTTTTCCTAGAAGCCAGTTAACCTAACAGCTTGTCTCTGGACTGTAGGAGGAAACCAGAGCATCTGGAGGAAACCCATTCAAACACAGGGAGAACACAGAAACTCCATGGAGATATCATCCGAGGTCCAGCTGAACCAAGAGCACTTACACTGCAAACGAGTGATGCCAACCACTGCACCATCGTGCCGCCCACCCTGGAACCCATTAGTTAGAAGTTTCATATAAATAATATCAAGACAAGCCCAGATCCAGTGATGGCAGGACAGGCAATGCAGAGATTTTAACCGCAGCCAGACCAGCCAGTCATCTCCTTTCCTGCTTCTGTGAGAGGCCTCTCTTCTAAGGGCTGTCTGGCATGATAAGATATCTTTGTGAGGCCACTTCTCATTGCTCAAGCGATTGAAGCCACTGAGGGATTAGCCTTTAAATCAGAGTTCTACGTCATGACCAGGAAAGGATCGGGTGCAAGGTAGCATACTCCCTGAACGGGACACCAGTCCATCACAGCACAGAAACACGGACACACTCCGTGTCAACACCAGAGATCACTTTCAAAGAAGCCAAGTAAACTACCAGTATGTCTTTGGACTGTGGGAGGAAACCAGAGCGCCTGGTGAAAACCCACACAAACAGTGGGAGAGCACACAAACATCACACAGAGAGCACCCCCGGTCCAGAATTGAACCCAGCACTGCGAGGCAGGAATGCTAACCACTGCGCCACTGTGCAGTACGAACATGCTGAGGAGAAATATTTCATTTTTACCACATTTTATCTTCTCCATATTAGAAAAAAATATTTCTGAATACAAAATGCAGCAACAAAAAACCTTTACAGTGGGGTGCAATGTTAAAAGAAGGAGTTGAGCGTTACAGAGTGCTAAGTGCCAAAATCTACAGTACATCAACACAGCTAAAATGATTGTCAAATGACACTTTTTAAGTACTTGTTTTTATCTGAGGGACTGAGGGAGTGATGGGCTTTCTGGTTTGTCAGGAAACAGTAGAAAATATGTTTTTTTTTCTCTCAGGCTGTCATTTACAGTTGTCAACTTCACTTGCTGTGGAAATAGAGAGTGTAGAAGTTTAGGAGAGACGGGGAGGATGACAGAGTAGTCCGCATTTGTAGGAGAGCACAGCCGATCAGTCAGCGAGGTGTGTGGGTGCTGTGTGGGTCGTGTGTCAGCAGGGATGTCATGTGAGTGGGTGAGGGTATGCGTGTCACTCCAGATAGCAAGCTGTGCACTAATTATTAAATCTCTTTCCTTCACATTCATTTATTGATCTCTGGGCCTGAATGTGTTTTTTTTTTTTCGTTCTCATCATGTTGGCCTAACAAATTAAAATACACATCATGACAAGGTATATTTTGCAGCAGGGAGAGCTTCTGGATTCTACCTGGTTTAGGTTGTTTAGAAGATGAAGGTGAATACATATTTGCATTCAAGTGCATTATGAATCAATCACAATCAAATTTACTTTAAATTCAGTAAGGCTAAAAGACTAGGAGTCCATTTATTATAAAGAGATGTACACTGTTGACAGTAGGTTGTGCTGAACATTATTATACAATTTAATGTTTAATGAGAGAAAGTACATTTGACCATCAAAAAATCTCTGATTTAGATGTCTTTGGGTGGAAAAGACTTAATGGTTTTTGCTGGTTATTAGAGGATTCCTGTTTTTGGAATCTGCTGAAAATAACCTCATGAAAAATATGTAATTATATGTTTGAACTAGCTTTGTATGTAATCCAGTCTAATAAGGAGTGGCTATTACCACATAAATGTTTATTTTTGCCTTAGTTCTCATCTGTTTACCATCTTAAGAGAAATTAAGGAATCCCAGGAAGTTTTATGCAATGAAAACCACATGAAAACAATTTGGTTTGTAATTAAACAGACCAATATTCTGAGCTTCAGAAAGCATACTGCAGTAAATACTCCACCTCCTTTGGTAGGTATTCCATAATAGTATTTTCAATAGTGGAGTGATTTAGTAACATGTTTTACTTCAGCTCAGGTATCTTTATGGTATCATGAATTCCAAGGAAAAGAAGCTATCAACCACAATCAGGTGCATTTTGGCATCTGTGACTCAGTTCAAATGCTAAATACAAATCACCTGACATTTTGTGAAATCACATAACTTGAGCTCAATATTTTGTTCTAAGGAAGAATACTACTCAAACACTAAATCTATCTGATCACTTTTTAAACTTTTTACAAATTACAGTATGTGCTCAAGGCTATTGATGCATTTTCATTATACATCAGGATCTATATACTATACAGTGATAACTTTGGATGCCTGCAGACAGATTTTCACTGGTGCCTTAATAATAAAAGGTAAATAAAGTGAAGTTCAAAGGAAATTCTGTGTATGTTTCCAGTTTGTGATATATCTTCTTAGTCCCTGTTGTGTAAATATTTATCAAGCCTTATTGTTTTTTTTTTATTTAGTTATGTTGCTTTCCTTTGTTTAATTAATTATTGTCTTTCCTTTAAATGTTTTGCTTTTCCTATTTAGTTTTTCAGAGGGGTGTTAGTGGGTGAAAGCACATGTTTAATGAGGTGCAGTGGGTACGTGATGGCAAACAGCATTGTGTGTCAGCTCAGATCTCTCACTGCTTCACTTGGCCTCAGAACCTTTCTCTGTTCGAGCCTCATGAATGCAGGGGGCCACTCTTTCAGCCAAGGGCAGGGGTCTGCACCCTCCCTTCTGGGAAGCCTCAACCCTGTGGGTTTTAGAAGTGACCTTTGCTTGTCAGTGATCTGACACCTGGAGAACAGTTTAGTTAAATAACTGGCTGATCCAAAGAAGTCTTTCAGATCTGGAGTAAAAACCTGAAGGCACTGTGGCTCTTCAGGACCGGAACTAAATCCTGGCCAATGGGAATATTTTATTTTCCTATTTGCATTTACAGTGCAGCCCAGCGACAGGTGTTGAAAATTCAGTAAGGGTACACAAGGGCCAGAAAAGGCTGATGACGGGTTTAGATGCGGTTGGTGATACAGGTATCCAGTCCCTAACGTCTCATCCCCTCACACTCTCTTTCTCCCTTAACCCCCTTCCCCCATCCCATCCTCCCCTCTGCCTCCTTCCTGTCTCTCTCTCCCAGGCTGTGGGTGCTGGCCATGGCGGAAGGGGTGGAGTGTGCCGGGCAGGTGGACTGGAAGGAGAGGTGCGTGACCCTGGAGAGCCAGCTGCTGAAGTTCAGAGTGCAGGCCAGCAAGATCCGGGAGCTCCTGGCGGAGAAGGTACACCAGGGCTGCTACCAGGCTGATACCCTGCCAACTACAATCATCTGGTATTCAGGACTTTAGTCAGATCAACATATTGTGTTCCAGTTTGATCCAAAGCTGATAGCATAGCTGTAGCCACGTGCCTTAAGCAAAAATAATCACAGACTAATTTATATCCTCAAAGAGTTGGATTTTAGAATAGCTGCATGGCATCTAAGTAAAATTAAATCTGGCTGTGCAATGACACAGACAGCTCCTATTTGAGATGCCTATGTGCCCTAATCATGCATTTGTTGGATGCTTGAATGATACCAGGTAAACAGGCGTGACGTTCAGGAGGGATAACAAAAGACGAGCTGGTCTCACTGAGCTGGTCTCACTGAGCTAAATCCCACTCATTACTGACTTTAACTATACACGTATCTCTTTCAGACATCTCACATTTTTCCCATTCACCCCACCTCCACCCTATCTCCACCTTTGCAGCTGCCCCTTGGTTCACTCCCCTCTCTGAATGGTCCAATGGCCAGGAGGTTCCCTCTTTACCACCTGGTTTAAGACATAACTTTATATACATAAATACTCGATAAACAGCATTCGCAAGGCACCTGATTCTTGGATGTCATTATTCCGTGTGAAACACTGTTGTACCTCACAGGGTTAAGACTAGCACAAGGCATAACACCCTCCCAGACTTCTGAACTCTTACAAAGTGTGGAAACATGACGTGCCCTTTACCGTGTTCCATGTGTTTGGGCGGTGCCGGAGCAGGAATGCTTCCCAGATTGCGCTGTTGCAGTTCCTGGTTCTCTTTCTCTTTGACCTGCCCCTGCAGTGTATCCACCCTGGTTGGAGGCACTTCTCTGGAGAGAAACAATTCAGTCTGGTACAAACACTGCTGTGACCACAGCCGTGCAGGAAGGGTAGAGACCACTGCACTGTGTGTAATTAACCCATTGGAACCCATTTATTCCAAACCCATTCAAGCCCCCAGGTCCAGACGACAGTTCCGCTGGGCAGAATAGGATTTGGTAGCACGTTGTTTGCAAAAATCAGTTCAGTATTAATTTTACCATTAATGGGTTTTATCCAATGAATTGTGTATAATGCCCAAGTTACAATTAAAAGAAAGAAACTGGTCTGAAGGTGACTGAACAGCAAAGAAAACCATTCTGCAGCCTAAAGGCCTGGAGTGAAGGACATCAGATTGGAGCTTCTCCAGCTCGGGTGCAGCCAGTGCCTACTTCTGTCCCTTCAGCTGCAGGCCTGCTAGGCCAGTCCCAGAAGCAGCGAGTTAAGGCAATGTTGGCAGGCTGTTCAGGTTGCTAAAAGTTAATTAGCCATTTTCTTCTGACTCGGCATCTCTGTAAAAAGTTAATCCTTGCTGTGGGGGTTACCCTGAAAAGAAAACTTTTGTGTTTCTTCAGACTTGCATTTCTTTCACCTGTCTGGAGGGCAGACCTCCCTCTGATAACATCTAATGAAACAGAAATGTAATTATGGTGATTTTAATTTAGCATGCCAAACATAATGAAGAAACGCATGGGCATGGATTTAACAATATAAGAAAGGTTACAAATGAGCCGAGGCCTTTCTGTCCATCTCGCTAGTTTGATTGGTTTTAGCTAATTGATCTGAGGATCTCATCCTTAGCTTCAACAAGATGGCATAAAAAATCTTGTTCCAGACACCCACAACTCACATACAGTAAATGACTCATGTTTTCAATTGTATATATATACTTCACTATATATTATCTATCTACAAATTTGGTTTGTATTTTCCTGTTGATTCTGTAAAAAGTCCATTGATGTGACTTTGTCAGTGTCCTTGAGGTTTCTGAAACCACAGAAAGTCAGCATTTTACTTCTCTACATTCCTTGGGCTGAGTCATGTCCTCAATCTCTCATGTGCTGCAGTCTTCCCAGTGAAGAAAGGGTCCATTGGCTGTGGGCCCTCTTTTAGGTTTAATTTTCACAGTTGACACTTTTTCACAATCTATTCAACCAGTAGAGACCGGTCTTTTTGTGGCTGCACAAAGAATGGAATGAATACTGTGGTTGTCAAGGAATGACAGGAAAACCACATTTCATTTTTTAAAGTCATTTTCTGAATCGTGGTTTGTAATGTGGGATTTTTTTGGGCACACTTTACAGCTCCAGCTTTCTGTTATAACAGACTGAAAGAATACAGGCAGACCTAAGGTAAACAAGCTCAGCTTTCCTGTGATAAGCCCATGGTTCAGCATGTCAGAAGATTCTTTTCCCGTTATCAGTGCTCAGTAGTGAACACAATGCATGGATAGAAAATCAAGAAAAGGGCAGAGATTCTTGTCTGTTTAACGTGCTGTCTGACAGGTTAAGACATGCTTGAAGTGGGATTGGTCAGAATTCCCTGTACTATAGCCTGTACCACATCTAACAAGCCACCACTGCTTGAGAGCTTGCCAGTGCCCAGACTGGTCAGGACAGAACACATGCAGGAGCTGACACCATGGGAACATCTGCAAATCCGGCAGTCCTGCAAGATACTCCACATGTAGGGCTGGATCACCAGGCTTTAACTAGCTATGACCAACGTTACTGCTTGAGCCACTCTGGAGTGCCTGGCCTCTCATCTTTGGCATTTAAAACTCTGTTAACTCATTTCCTCGGACCATACACCCCTTAGATAGGAAATGGAGTGAGAGCAGGATTGATTCTGAAATGACAGTGAATTTTTTTTTGGGCAAAGTCTGGAGCTTGGATGGTAGATATGTGTAGCAGTATTCACAAAGCTCAGCAGTGTGGATTGTGGAAGAAAGGCTCCTCTCTGCACATGTTTGCTTTAGTAATTCTGAACACTGCTGTCCTGTTGAGAGCTGGACAAAGCCTAGAATGTCTGACTCTCAGCCCCCTTTGCACACATTGGGTGCTGTGGTGGGTGAAACTATCATACAGTATGGAAGAAAAAAGGTTCATTTATGCGTGCTACAAGGAGGAGTTTAAAGCCTTTATAAAATATATTTTAGAGCAGAAATACTGTAAATGATGGAACAAGGAAGAAGACAGAGGGGGAGAGAAAGGGCTGAGCAGAGAAAATAATCTCATAATCAAAAACCTACCCTAGGGAGCAACATTCCTTCATTTGTAAACAGTAAGCACACTGCACAGGAAGTGAGAAGCAGTAAGTGTGTAGCCTACATTTCTCCATTTTTGGCATACAGCTGTTTACTCTGGGCTGGTCCTCTCCAGAATGCCTCTTTTCTGGCCAAGCCTCCTGACATCTGTGTGAACTGGGATAAACCAGCAGGATCTGAGTCTCCCATCCCTCTTGGGGAATCCCACTGCGAGCCGTTCTGACAGCCCCAGATAACAATGTGCCTTTATACTTTCCCTCTGCCTACCTCGACACGCTCACACCCAGGCGAAGAAGACCAACAGTCTTAGTAGCAAAATTATCTGCTCCGTTTTTATGGATCCGAATAAGTATTTTTATTTATCGGGGATCTCAATTTCTGATTTAAATGCATTGGAGTCGTGCAATGGGACTGTTATTTTTCACAAGGCGAAGATATGTAGCTGATTGTACAGTATGTATACTAAGTTATAGCCAGTGATTCTTAAAAATAGTAAAACCTTTAGGCAATACAGTTGTAATGCACATTCACACACAAGACTGCTTTACACACTAAAGTTCTTTAAAGTGCTTTTTGTTTTCTTGTCTTAATGCAATGATTATATTACTGCTGCCGAGGAGTCAGTCCAGAGAAGTCTGGTGGCAAGCTGTGGTTAATGGTTAATTGTTTTGAGATCAAAAAAAATGTTGGGGTGTCCTTCTGCAGACATTAGCAAAATAATATCCTACAGCACATACTTTTTAAAGATGTTGTCCTTCAATTATGTGCAAACTTTGCAAGCCCCGGCATCGCTACAAAAAGAGGCTTCTATCCTACTTTTATATGTACATTCACTTGGCACATTGAGTTGAGTTTTTTTGGCATTAGAAAAAGTGAAGCACTGAGAGAAAAACTTTGGAAATCATCTTGAGAATGAGTATGTTAGGAAGTAAAAAACTAAAATTGCAGGAAGTCCAAATGAGACTTTTTAAATGCCCAATATGGGTTCAAAAGCTGAAACCACATTAAGTTTGAAAAATATGTGTTCTAATTTACAGAAACTTTCTCTTTTTTTCCCTGGAAATCCTGATTTATTCCACATTTCTGTGGGATGTAATTTCTAGCTGCGGGAGGCAGAGTAGAGCCCCATTAAGAGACAAACCCTTTCAAGCAGCAACAACAACAGGACTAAAAATGCTTACTTGCCTGTTTCCTAGACTGGGACTCAGAGTTCTGGGCTCTGCCTTGATCATACCTGATTAAAAAGATTAACTCAAGAGGTTTCGTACCATAGGTCTTTAAACACCATGGCTAAGCCTTTTACCTCTCTCAATAAAACACAAACCAGTCCAGCTACTGAGTCATTTCAATTTCAGAAGGTTTATCTTAGGAATGGATATTTCTGCCTTCATGATGACAAAAAGGTATTTGTTCTGTACGTTGAAACTGAGCCATAGATACACATTTTGTACAATGTGTGAGTACACAATGATAGTATATTCAATATATACATACTTAAACATAGTATAAAATATATTGTATACTGTACATTGTTTACAGGGGAACCTTTCAGAGTTATGTTTTTTTAAGAGTATGCAATTATGAATTATGGGAATAAATATTAATTAGCTATTCAAATTTTACTATGCTAAGAGGGCAGATCTGTCTAAAAAGACTTTTAATTCTGCCTTTTCTACTTACATATAATCATATATGGAAGCCATGTATATGTACAGTATTATGCAAAGTTTGAAATAAGTTTGTACATAAAGGTGGGAAGAGAGAACAGTCTTTCTAGTCATTCTTCTTCCTTGTAATCCCAAGATTCGCTAATAAATCTGAATCCCTTAATGATAACTTTTATCATATACCAACATTTATATCTGTGTATGATGGCAGTTCAGTGTACTTGCTTCTT